TATATACGTTCTCTGTTAGAAGTGTTCGCGATGCAAAGAACTTTCACAAGCTGGTAAAAAAGAACACTCTTAATGCATTTTTAAGTTGCGTCCGCCAATCCATTCGCTTCGCCAAACCGTTCGCTTCGCCAAATTCATTCGCTTCGCAAGTGATAATATCGCCCTAAGATTAAATGAAATTACTGTTTGATTTCTAACCAAACCTATGTAGGTACGTAACTCCATCGCCTAATGGTTTGCCGAACCATAAACATATATTTACACATCCAATTTCGTGAGTAGGTACCTGGTACTCACGCCTTTTTTAAGAAGTTTCACTTCTATCGTGTGTACGGTGTTACACACGCATATTTTTTTTTTTCTTATTTAGTAACGAAATTCCACTTTGTATAAGCCAAAAACTCACCCATAACGCACTTGCTAATTCATCAACTATGCGAAAACAATGTGCCGAATTCCCATGAAGCCCAACAAATGGTCATACATATGTACATCATTGATTTGCTGTTGTTTGTGCATGCCACTCCAGCGTTGGAAAAATGGAACTCGGCTAGACAGAGGCAGGATTCCCATAAAAAACAGGGCTAAATTACTTTACCATATCAATTGTAATTTGAACATACTTATGTACATATGTATGCATGTATTATAATCTAATTGGATTGATTGAATGTTGATTTGTTGAACTAATACGGCGTTTCCACGGCAAGCGAATCACGTGTTTCGCTCTCTCAACTACGAACGGCGTTTACACGTCACATTCGTGTTTCACTTGGCATCTCTGTTTCTTGTTCTTGTTCTTTTCATTTATTTATTGTTTACTGCTGTGAATTTCAACGATGGAGAAAAAATGTAAGATTTTACTTTATACAATTGAAAATTGTGTTGATTTAGTAAATAGAAAAAGTGCCAGTAATTGGGAAGAGGTCAGCGAAAGGGCGCTTATAGAGGTATGGAGCGAAAGGATTGTAGAATTGCGTGGTTGTCGGAAAACAGCCACATACTCTTGGAAATGGCGCAAGATTTGGAAAGACAAGGATATGTATACTCAGTGGTGGAGCTTAAGAACAAGATGCATAACTTGACGACACGGTACCGGTAAATATTTATGATTTGTGTTGTGGTTCTAAATATATTTTTTTTGGATTAAGGAACTACAAAGTAGCTCAGGGAAATGTTTAGTTATTTGCCCACTGTTTTTGGGTTAGTGTGCGGAAAGAGAGGCGGCGTCTCCCTTTATATCCATCCCACTAGAAAGAGCACAATTCAAACTAAAAATTAGCGCTTTCTAAAATTAGCATTTTGACACCGGAAATATAAACTCGGCTAAAAGATTTTTCTGTGCAGAACACCTTTTCATGTTAGCGGAGGGGCCGGAAGCCCCTTTTATATTGTCAAAGCTACACAATATTTATTTGTCATCTATTGAACATATACATATAACTCCGGCTAGGCAATCCACAATATGTTTGCGTAGAACTTATCACGAATCCACGGATGATTATAAAAATCAAATCGCAAATTGATATTAAATTTTTTATTGTATTTTTTATCTTCCACAGAAAGGAGAAACAAAAGGTAGGACCAACAGGCGGTTCACCCTCGAACTGGAATCTTTTTCAAGAAATACAATCCTTATTGGCTCCATATAAAAGTTATCACACAGAAGGTCTATTGGTCGACAGTGTAAATAGTATGTATATAGATAATTTATTCATAAATATTTACCGGTACCGTGCATACATAATTTATTAAATTTATTTACATATTTATTTTTTAAGACATAAACTCCCAGTCGTTGTGTTCAATCCCGGGTTCACCATTGCCATCACCATCAGCGTATTCTGCTTCACCGCTGCCATCGCCATCAATTGCTGCCACTTCGCCGCTGCCATCACCATCCATTCCTATAACTTCTCCGCTGCCATCACCATCCATACCTGTAATTTCGCCGGTCCCATCACCACCCATAACTATAGCTTCGCCGCTGCCATCGCCAAATATGTCGGAAGATTCACCGGCACCATCGACTTCCGCTAGAGCTAGAAGGAAAGAGGAATTAGCTAATTTATTCAAAAGGGTGGAGAGGAATATTGAAACAATTCAAAAAGATATAAAATCTACGTCGGAAAAGTTTGTTTCTATTGAAGAGGAGAAAAAAGAAATTTTAAAATGGTATGTGAAGAATGAAGCTGAGGTGCAAAAGGCACTAATAGAGTTTCTGAAAAGGCCATAAGTTTCAGAAAATGGAATGAAAACAGTACACTTAAGAGTACAGTCAGAGTTAAAAGTTAGTACATATGTATACACCTTATTCTTTTATAATATTCAAAGTGTTTTTGATGAAAAAAGTTTTTCAATAATTTTTTATTAAAATTTTCAAGATTTCAGAATTTTTAAAAACTTTTGAGGTATGCAATAAGAAAGTGCAGGTTCCAAGTGCCTGAAAATTTCCGTTCATTTTAAATAATTTTTGTGTAAACCGTATAGCGTATTTCCTTCCATACAAAAATTCATATTGCATGTACGCTCTCTCTATTATATCTGCGTACACCCTTGTTTTTTTAAACATTCACAATGTTTTGCAAGCTATAATTTTTTTCCAAAAATATGGTTCATGCCTCAAACAAAATCATATAACTCAAATCTACAAGGTGCATACAAAATTAAGAAATATTTAATGAATTTTAATCGAAATTTTAAACTTTTTACTCAGCTTTTTTAAGAAAATTTCTGGTATGCAGTTTTATAGCCCATTGAATTTTAGTACAATAAAGTGCAAGTTTCAAGTGGCTAGAAAATACTGTTGATTTTTTAACAATTTTTTTGTTGACATGCTAGGCATTCTCTTCCATATAAAAAAAAATTCGCTCATACCTTGTATGGAGAAAATTCCTAGAGCCGTCAGCAAAAAAAAAATTATTAAAAATCAACGGTATTTTCTAGCCATTTGAAACTTCCACTTTATAATACTAATAATAATAAAAAATTGCATACCAGACATTTTCTTAAAAAAGCAGAGTAAAAAGTTTAAAATTTCGATGAAAATTCATTAATTTTTTCTTAATTTTGTATGCACTTTGTAGCTTTGAGTTATATGGTTTTGTTTGAGGCATGAACCATATTTTTGTAAAAAAAAAAAAAAAAAAATTATAGCTTGCAAAACATTGTGAATGTTTAAAAAAACAAGGGTGAACGCAGATATAATGGAGCGAGTGTACGTTATAGTAAGCAATAAAATTATTTAAAATGAACGGAAATTTTCAGCTACTTGGGAACTTGCCTTTTATTTAATTGAAATTTAATGGGCTACAAAACTACATACCCAAAAAGTCTAAAAATTCTGATTAGAAAGTTTGAAAAAATTAGAATATATGTATTTGTTGAATTTTTGTGAACTTTATATAAGGTAAGAAACTTTGATTTACATGGTTCTAGTTATATAATGAACTATATTTTGATATAAAATGCTTGAACAAATTTTTTCATGAAAAACATTGTGAATATTATATTAGAACAAAGGGTATGCTAGCTTTTAACTCTGACCATATGTAGTTTGAGTTTGAAATTTATAATAAATAAGTGTAACATTTAACACAGAATGCATTACAAATATTAAAAAAAAATTAACATATACTCAATTTTGTAAGTAACTACACATTACTTTTATTTTCGTAAGTTTATTTTTGTATGCTTCCCTGAAGGATCTATTTTAATTTTTAACTTATAGCGAAAAATGTGTAATAAATGAAATTTATAATAAATAAGTGTAAAGTTACACAAATAAGAAGAAATAGCGTTTCTTATACTTTCTGGATTGTTTCGTTGTTCCGCTAGTACCGCTACATATTCAGGATACGCACGGTTTGCTTCCACAACTTGTAAAGCTTGCATCCACTTTTCATTTATTTTATCTATTCCTTTGCCAATACGCCTGAAACGAGCCTTTAAGTGTCCAAATACGTTTTCCACTACTCTGCGAGATTTAGATAATCTGTAGTTGAAGAGCTTTTGTTTGCGGCTTTGTGAAATATGAAACGGATACGGCTTCATTAGCTTGTCACTTAACCGAAATACCGAGTCCCCAATTATAAAAACCGGTACATCAACATCGGAAATAGTTTTTTTTCAATTCGCTTAAAAGAAAGAACACATTCATCCAATTGTTGCTTTAGAGAAGATGTCTGAAAAATTTGAGAATCGTTGCAGCGTCCTGGGCTGCCGGAGCTAACATATATAAAACGACATCTGGAAAAAACAATAAATAAATAAATAAAGGAACTATTGAAGCCTTTCATTGCTTCTACCTGGCGTCCACCAATGCTAGCAGTACGATTGAATACCATCCCTTATAGTTGTGGTAGTCTGTAGCGTCTTCATTGGGTGGGTGAATCTCAATATGACATCCATCTATTAACGATTTCATTTAGTAAAAATAAAACAATATTTACTTCATAAAAAGGTGCTTACCAAGTGCTCCCATACATTGGGGAAATCCATATGCTTCAAACTCTTGCACCAAGCCTTTAATTTTGTCTTCTGTCAACGGGAAGTTTTTTAAATATATTGGAGCCAAAACTCTCCAGACCTCATTGCAAAAACCCAATAATATTTTGCATACGGTTGCCTTTCCCACGCCAAACATATTTGCGATTGTGCGATACTCGGAAGATGGCCCTAGAGCATATAGAGCTATAGCAACTCGTTTTTCCAATGGTATCGTTTCTCGCATATTTGTATCACTTTTTCGCAGATCTGGCAGTAGTTCGCATAATTTATAAAAAAGTTGTCGGCTAATTCTGAAGTTGTTTTTAAAAAAAACTTCATCTCCTTTCTGACAATCTTTCTCAAAGAAGGATTGAGTTCGTTCCTACAAAAATATAAACACTTATCCATACAAATTGGTTCAAGCACATCCAGTTTTTACAAATACTTACTTTTTTCCAAATTAATCTTCTTCCGGAGCCAAGTGATTCGTTCAAAGCATACAAAAGATCCAATTCCTCCAAAATCAGCAAATGCTTATCCTGGAGATGCCGTAACATACTTTTGCCTCTTCACTCACCCTAGTTGTGGCCAACAACCTCCTCGACATAATTATTTTCTTCACCATTTGAACTTTTGCATCCATTTTATCTTTAATTGTTTATTCTTTATTTATTTTTCTTGCTTTGTTTTGGCAGCTGTCTGTGTTTTGACATCTGTTTTCTATAAAAATTAGAGAAGACAACGATTTTTTCATGATTCGTATGGTGATTGGATCTGAATCACCTACGAATGAAGTGATTCGCTCTCAAAATTTTGTATGGCGAATTACGTGATTCGGTTCATGATTGGGGCGCCAATCACGAATGAGAGAGCGAATCAAGAATAGGAGAGCGAATCACTTGTCGTGGAGACATCGTATAACATTGTTTAGTTTTGTTTCGTGCAGAATTTGCATGAAGCGAAACAGACATTTTTTTTCTGTTATTTATTCTACATGCTACTACAGCGATGTAAAATTAGGTTTCTGCTGCGCAGCGGCAGCTTTTTTCACGAACTTTTTTATGAAATAAAGGAAAAGCTGAAGATCAGTGTATGTATGTATGCCACACCAAGAAGCTTACAGTGAGCATGTGCCGATATCGCAGCAAGCAGCATTTTGAAGTACAAAAAAAAACAAAAACAGTTGCCAAACGCAATACAGGATGTACAGTGTTTGTTTGTTTTGCTTGTACATAAATTTCGCTTTGCGCATGCCTGAAGCTGGCAAAGGTTCTTTTTTTATTTTTGCGCTGTGCTAGCTGAGTATAATTGGCCGTCTCCATAGGATAAAATTTGCTGTCCAGCTGTCATTTTGGTCGCTAGATATAAATTATATCAGTGGCAATATTTGTGTGGGCTTTTTATATCTTGATATAAGCATCTGTGAAATAGCTTCTAAAACGTATTTTTGCCGGATTTAATCACTTAAAAAATTTAGAAAATAGGCTATTTTACAACCAATTACATAATAACAAATATTTTAACCGAAAACAGTTCAATATTTGCTTTTATATTAAAATATCAATAATGTTGCCGCCACGAAGTTTTCATGCAAATGAACATGTAGCTGTCAAACTACCAAATTGCCGGCAATAGATGGCAAGATATAAGCTCTGATATATATTGCTCTTGAAGAGCAATGAGACTATTTATATTCTAACATATGTATCAAGATATAAACTTTATCCTGTGGAGACGGGCAGTAAGAAGGGAAGAGACTAGAGAGAAATATGTATGTGGCTTGTTGACGCTCTCTAAACACAAACGCGTGAAAGCCGAACGGTCTAGCAATGCGTGGTATTGTTGATCAACTTAATACTTTAATTAAACATACTTATTATTAAAATTTATTTTAAATTTTATTGTGGTATGAAATATGAATCATAGAAATCGACCCAGTACATCGGGTTGTTTTGCTCTCACGTTTTTTTGGGTTTTAATTTTATATATATAGTATAGAATAAATAGATATAGATGAAGATACTAGAATCATTACACTTTAAAGCACTCCGCTGGGTATTGGACCAAACCAATTTTTTTAAAGAGATTGAGTCATAGGTATCAAAGTAATTTCTCCGTTTTTCGAAGTTAGCCTCCGAAATCGAGATATGGGCCTTCGAATTTCGAAATAGGATCTTTGGTAAAAAATTGTTTTTTATTATTATATGTAAATAACTAAAAAACTTAGAATACAGTCGTAGACCGCCCTTTGCTCTTATTTAAATGGTTTATAACTTTTTTTTTAAACTTATATTACAGGTGCTATGGAGGGGTAAAGGTCGGGTCTTCGAAAAATTAAAAACCTTATATTTCAAACAATTTCGAATTGATTTTTAAAAAGTTGGTATCGTTGTTAACGTGATAAGACCCCTTCTTCTCTTCTGATATGAGTATTTGAATACTTTGTATGTAAAAATTTAAGAAACAATATTTAAAAGGAAAAATACCTTTTTTTATAAAAAAAAATATTTTAAACAAACAAATTACCAATCGATTTTCAAAAAATTGGTATCGTTGTAAACGCAATCAAACCTTCTTTCTTCTGATATGCGTATTTGTATACTTCGTGTATGAAAATTTGAGAAAACACTCTTAAAATGAAAAAATACCTGTTTTTTATAAAAAAATTACTAACCGATTTTTAAAAATTTGGTATTGTTGTAAAGGCGATTAAATACACTTTCTTTTGGTATGCATATTTGATTACTTCGTATATAAAAATTTAAGAAACAACACTTAAAAGCAATAAAATACCTTTTTTTATAAAAAAAATATTTTGAGCAAAAAAATTATAAACCGATTTTTAAAAAATTGGTATCGTTGTAAAGGATACCAGAAAACTTATACTTTCTTAATCCCAAAAATTTCTGTTTATATACACAAAGAAAAAAATTTTATTAATAACATTTTTTCCCTCTATAGAAACTCCTTGCCCCTTAGTTAAAAGGCTGGCTACGCCCTTGTATACAAAAAAATTAAAGTATTTAAACCGTACATCATACGGTCAGTTTGTTCTTTTAGAGCGCATACATGGTTCCAAAATTACGATTCCAGTATCTTCATTTATGTATATTGTAACTATCAATATCTTATAAAGAGAAGTGTAAAATTTTTGTTATCTAAAACTAATAAAGTTAGAAGGACGAAATTCGAGGATGTGGTAGTTAACATATTAGTCCTTGACATATATTTTTTTTCAAAAATAAATATTGGAAATTTCCCAGGATATTCAAGGATACAGTTTTAAATGGACATTTTCAATACTTATTCGTCCTGGTGCACCCAAAAATTGTTTTTTTTTTCTATTTTACAGATTTTTTCCTTTTGATTGATACTCATATTTTTATTCTACAATGCAACGAATCTTTTGAATAATTTTTTTATTCAATCATATTCTAGAAATTTCAAAGTCCTTTTAAAAAAAATCCTGACGTCAGAGAGAAAAACTAAAAACGCAGTTTTACTATATTTGGCCCCCAGTTTTGTGAATATATTGATTTTTTCGTGTGTAAAATTGAATGTCGCACGGTGTTATCATTAAAATCGTTTCAGTCGTTTAGGAGGAGTTAAGCCACCAGAATAAGTCTTTTACATACAGACACCCTTCGACATTTTACCCGATACAAAAAATCAGCGAAAAAAATTCTCAAACGGTAACTTATAGCCATTTAAAACTTGTACTTTATGATACTGAAATTAAGTGAACTACAAAACTGCATACTCAAAATCTGGTGCCATTTGATGCAAAATGAACTATATTTCTATAACAAATTTACAAAAAAATGTGTTATGAAAAAGAAAAAAACGCTGTATTCTGGCTGTATATATTTACAGAAAGGTAAAAGTTTCAATATGTTTGGAAAGCGCCACGCCCCCTTTTCCAGTAGCCTCAAAATCTCTATACCAATTTCCAGGAGACTACCTCAAATACTTCCAGGGATATACGGTATGAAAAATTCGGTATGTATGGGTGATGCCACGCTCCCTTAATATATCGAAAGTCTGCAGAAGGTGTCCAAAATTTCAAAAAATCGGTACTACCGTTCGCGAGATCACCTCTTATAAAAAGAAGGAGCTTCTCTTTATATAATTAGTGTAGGTAACACAGGGCAACACCGATTTTGATGCGGCAAATGTTAAAGCTGGTTTTTGATAGGTTTTTTTGTGCTGATTAAGAATCCGTAAGTATAAAGTTTCCACCAGCTCCAGATTTTGAGAAAAATGGGATGAGAAAAAATACTGGAAAATTATGCAATTACAAACAAACAATGGTGTAAAAATCAGTGTTAGCTGTTCAATAAATGACTATAGGTGACCTTAGGGTCAAGGTGCAGGAATGGTATTTTCAGGGATTGAAGTCAGAAGTCCAAGCCTTCTATCACCTTTTGCTTAATTGCGGTAGGCATTCACTTCACAAAATCAGTTATTCCTGGTCAACAAATGACTATAAGTGGCCATCAACCAAAGGTGCAGGAATTTGCAAGGATAGTATTCGAGATTTTTAGCTTTAATCAAAGTCTAAGGGGAAGGTTCTACCATACCTTGTTTCTTTGCTAGAACTTCTCAAATGTTGAAAAACGCGATTTTTTGACACTTTGAGCTCGTCTTTCTTAAAATCTGGAGCTGATGGAAACTTTATGCTTACGGATTCGTAATCAGCACATAAAAATTCGGCAAAAATAGCGTTAACATTTGCTGCATCAATTTTTTCCCACTTTTGTTGGCCTGTGTAATAAGTATTGTTAAACATCCAATACCCACATGTTTGCGCCACCTTCAAACACCTTTCGAACTGTAAAACAATGACTCGATTCTATTCTACTCATATCTATAATACGGGTACCGAATTTAAAGCAAATCGGACCGTAAATAAGATTTTTTGGAATAGATCGGTATCTGGACCACCTATCAGAAAAAATATCCTATATGTTAACCCAGGATCTGACCGTAAATAAGACTTTTTCGAATAGATCGGTCCCTGGCCAACTTAACGGCAAAAATGGATCTTATATGCTAATCTAGGCAAAAGGCTACCAACGAACCAAATGAATTTTTTTGGCGCCACCTATCGGAAAAATAAAAACTTTGTGCACTCTTTCTTCTAAACACCTTTCCAAAAAAGCAGCATCCATTCGAAGCGTTATGAAACATAGGAGAAAATTGTTCCCAATTGATTCATGCTTCCAATGAATTTTAAAATTATCCGAAATTTTCCAGGCTTTCGTCGAAAAAATTCAAATTTTTGACGTTCTTCCGGATTTTTCCGAGTTTTCCAATTAGAATTTTCTATTTTTCCATTCGAATGCCATTCCGAAGGAGTTGTACACAAAATTCCATACAAAAAGTCAATTTTCGATTTTTCCAATTTCCGGACTTTCCCGGAGGGTTTTCCCAAAATTTTCTTTCATAAAAACCTTCTCCTGGCAATTATAATAATAATAATAATAATAATAAAATGGCGCTTACACATAGGTTAGTGTTTGGACGAGCTTCTCCTCCGAGTTGTGGCGTGCGCCTTGATGTTGTGACACAAAGCGGAGGGACCTACAGTTTTACGCCGACTCCGAACGGCGATTGTATTTTTATGAGAAGCTGTTTTTCATGGCAGAAATACACCCGGAGGTTTACCATTGCCTGCCGAGGGACGACCGCTGTAAAGAAAAAACCTTTTTCCCATTTTT